TGTTCTTTTGGCAGTCCATGGTTTGTTTGTTCACTGTTCTTTGCCAACATCATAGTTCAAATGTATCGATTCTTTTTTCATTGCAGATTGTAGGTGTCAAAGCCACTGGGGTTTGACTGTCTGTGGTCAACTTTCACAAAGGGGTCATTATAGCAGTCCCCTCTTCATGGGGTCCAGAAAAGTCTGAAGCTCATTTGGGGTGTCTTCAAAGTGGTGGGAATGAAGATTCAACACCAAGAAATGTATCTCCAGAGCCCAGACTATGAATCACTGTACTGCCTCTCCAAAGAAACACTTTCTAACCAAAATATTTTACCAGGACAAATCCAGCTGTATGGCTCCTACAGCGCATGTGTGGCAGTCTAGACAACAAATGAAAGGGCTGGGGTAGTTTCTGAGCTGAGAAGGAAAGGCTTGGTCGTCACCCCAGGAGCCCATGCCTTGTCTCCCCAGTGGCTTCTGTATGGAGCCCAGTAAAGTCTAAACTTCCTGTCTGTGAAATCAGTAAGGCCCATGAAAAAACCAAGCCTAGTTCCTAGGTCTACAGGTCCAACAGGATGTCTGTATGTTTATGATTTCCAACACCACCTGCTGGCCACGTTGTCATACTGAGGTGGTTTGCATGTTGCTAAGCACTGGGCTGCTAACCACAAGGTCAGCAGTTTGAGCCCATCAGCTACTCTGCAGGAGAAAGCCGAGGCTTTCAGCTCCATAGAGATTTACACCCTCTGAAATCCTATACAGAGTCGATATAAGTTGGAACTGACTGGACGACACTTAACAACAACAACAACAACAATATATTTTGGAAGGTACACCACCAACATTTCAAAACCCAGCAAGTTTACTGAAGTCTAGACAGGCTTCATTAGAGCTTTTAGATTAAGAAAGGACTGATCATTATTAGCCAAAAATTAGCCAGTGAAACTACAATGAACTTATTTTTTTATTGTTAAAACTCTCTATTTTCCAAAACAGAAAGGAAAAAACAATGAGAAAAATAAATTGTACATTCTTGTAAATCTCCTTAATACCTGATGAAATAGGAAAGAACTAGACTACCTGACACTGAGCTTGCTGTTATTATATCACATGCAGTGAATCTTCTGGAAAGTTCTACTGGGCTCTCCTGAGAGAAGGAGATTGGAAAAGGCAATGCCTGTGTTGACAAATCAACTCAATTGAATATCAACTTCAAATCAACCTATTAAGTCTGTTCTATTTCTGTTCTGACCCCAGCTGCACCTGTAGCTGCCCCTCCTCTGACCTTAACCACCAGGAGCGAGGTCAGAGTTCATAGGCTTCCAGAATGACATGACCTCGGATGCCAGCTACAAGCTTGGGAACCCCCGCAACGCCCTCACTTCTAACATTGTTATTGTTAGAGCATTCTGGGAGCACTTCTTCCAAGACAGATTTGTTTGTTCTTCTGGCAGTCCATGGTACCTTTAGCATTCCTCTCCAACACCATCATTCAGATGCATAGATGCTACTACCATCTTCTGAGTCATTGTCCAACTTTCACATGCATTTAAGGCAACTGAAAATATCATGGCTGGGCTCAGACCGACCTTAATCCTTCTGACCTGCTGCCTACAAATCTGGGGGTTTCTCAGTCTTCCTCTCAAAATGTGAGCCATAAGCTTGAGGGTCCTCATGACCCCATCATTTCTGACCTGCTGGTTCCAAGTACTTCCATAGGTTCCATTGTTCTCTAGAACCATTTCATTACAGTAAAAAGGAGACACATGAAGAGGAAGGATGCACGGTGAGGTCTGGGAGGGTTCCCAATACAGAACTTCCATGCCTGGGTATCATACCTCTCATCAGCCTGGATGAGGGCTGATGGGGCTCATGTGTCCAGAACCGTTATTGGGCCTCATTACATAGGCACGAGACCTAGGATTGAATCCACACCACCCTGGACCCTGAGGTCAGCTGATGTTACATGGTGGTCTTTCTGGCTTGGTCAGCCCCAACAGACACTCACGAGCACCCCCTCAGGTGTGGTCTGGGAGTTAATTTTCATCAGATACTCCAAACATGGAAGATTCCAAAGTTTCTCAGGTTCTCTCTCAGGAGATTCTTTGGGTAAAACGAAATTATTTAAGGAGTCCTGGTGTAGCACTCTAAAGTAAGCATTCAATTGATAAATGCAAGATCGGTGGTTCAAACCTAACCAGCTGTTCCTCAGAAACCCTATACAGGATTGCTACGAGTCGAGTCACAGCTGACTCAAAGGCGCTTAATAACCAAATCACATTCTTTAAGGAACCCTGAAAGGACAGTGGTTAAGTGCATGGTTGATAACAAAAAGGTCAACTGTTCAAACCCATCAACCAATGAGGTCATAATCTGCTTTGGTAAAGTTTACAAATGCTTCAGAAACCCTACAGGGTAATCCTACTCTGTCCTATAGGGTGGCTATGAGTTTGATCTACTCCATAACAAATTCTTTACCCAACAATGCCTTAGTATTATTATAAAAATAGCTTTGACCTCTGGACCTTCTGAAAGGGTGCTGGGAATGCCCATGAGCAGATGAACCCCACTTCGAAAGGCACTGAGGTATATAAATAAGCCAGATCGAATATGGATTGCGTGTTCAGGTTTTTACAACTTTGTTGTTAACTGCCGTCGAGTCGGTTCCAACCCATAGCAACCCTGTACAGGGTTTCCGAGGCTGTACATCTTTACGGGAGCAGAACGCCTCATCTTTCTCCCGTGGAGTGGCTGGTAGTTTCGAACTGCTGGCCTTAAGGTTCGCAGCCTGATTCGTAACCACTACGCTACCAGAACAGCTTTAAGTGAACCTAAACCTGGGGCCGTTGGAGGGAGGGCACAGTTTAACACTCAACTCGTACACCTACCCAGAGTCTCCTCAGAAGAGAGGCCTGCTTCAGAAAGATCAAAGCTTTGGAAACCTATGAAGCAGTTCTACTCTGTAACACGTGGCAGGATCGTCATGAGTTACAATCATGATGATTGTGTGGCGCTGTGGGCTAATGGGCCAGACTGAAAAGTCATTTGAACTGCAAGGTCACCAGCTCAAATCAAGCTCACTAGGGTCACTATGGGTTGGGATCGACCCAAGGGCACTTAACAACAACAACAACAACAGATCTGAGTGCCCAGGGCTAACCACAATTGTTTCCCTCAGGGTCAGGAGGGCAATGTGTGTTACAAGAGTCAGGGGCTGCAGTGAAGAGGACTCTGTGGAAGAACTGGGTAGGAAGCAGGTTTTCCCGGTCCTCAATTGCTGGATTGTGTCTTTTCTATTTTTCGCCATAGAGCTGAGCTTGGCTCATAGGGGCAAATGTTGAGAAGCGGATGATAGGAACCTAACCAAGAGCTGGGAGTTTAAGACTGGCTCCCATTTAACCTCTGCAATCTCTGGTAGCGTAGTGGTTACGAATCGGGCTGCGAACCTTAAGGTCAGCGGTTCAAAACTACCAGCTGCTCCGCGGGAGAAAGATGAGGCTTTCTACTCCCGTAAGGATTTACACCCTCGGAAACCCTGTACAGGGTCGCTATGGGTCGGACCCGACTCGACGGCACTTAACAACAACAACAACAACAAATCACAAGATTTACATAAGAGTTTACTGAGCTGATTAACAATCATCCACAGCACCTTCCTCTCTGTCAACCAGACAAATTCCTCCTCATCGCCTCCAAACCATCATCTTCTGAAATCCTATTTCCTCTCCCATTTCTTCAGGCTTTGGCCTCTTCTCCTTCCTCTCCCCATCTGTCCTCAAGGTATCTAAGATCTGAGTTAAGATTATCTAACAGGTCCAAGTATAGGATGGGGAGGACATCAAGGTCTCAAGTCAGCCTCACAAGACTGAGGAGAAGAGGTCAGGTGGACTGTGGTTTCTCAGGCCTTCTGCCCTCATTGGGAACCAAAACCAGACCTTCAGCACAAGGTTGTAGGTGGATTGCTAGGTTCTCCCAATCAGCCTTCTCTAGGGAGAGTGAGCAAAGACCCAGGGATTGGGTGCCAAGAGCTGACTCTCAACCACAGAAAACCTCGTCTCTCCAATTCCCATGATGCTTCTGGACTGGAATTCCAGCCTTCAGACACCAACCTAGGGATCTTCCCACCACACTTGCCAAAATTCTCCTGGGTGAGTGAGACATGGAGAACCCAGGATGGGTGTACCCGTACCTGAGCCTTAGACTAACGCTTCATTTTGGTGCTCAGCTATGGCTGCCTGAGCACCCAGAGGTCCTCTGGAAGGTTCTGTAGGAATGAAGAACCAAGGATGATGGGGAATGCAGATGGTGAATGGGTACAAGATTGGAGCACGTACCTGGCCAAGGGCAAGTGGGAGGAGAGACGGTGGGAGCAGGTACAGTGGAGGCCCCAGGATTTTTCAAAGATGTGTGTGTGTGTGTGTGTGTGTGTGTGTGTTGGGGGTGAGGGGTAGGGAACTTGTCTAGACTCTGCCCTGCGGTTTTCCTGGCAAAGTTTTAACAAAGAAAGACTGTGTTGGGAAAAAGGATCCTTGGCGGCAGTTGGTTATGCTTCGGGCTGCTAAGTGCAAGATTTCAGTTCAAACCCATCAGCCGATCCACTGAAGAACCCCTATGGATCAGTTCTGCTCTATGAGTCAGAATCAGCTGGATGGCAGTGAGTCTGGGCTTGGGGGAGCTGATGATAAGGAACCCAGAGGAGTTAAGTTGGGGGAAGGGAGCGGAGTCCATGCTTGATGAATGAACGAATGAATGAACGAGTGAGTGAGTGTGCTGAAAGAGTGATGGAGTAGGGGTGGTTGCTGATAGATTGGTGGAGCGTGCCGCAGCCCTCCAAGCGCACTCCACAGGGGTCTCCAAGGCCCCAGCGGAGGCGGGGTGGGGCGGGGTGGGGGTGGGGCCGCAGGGGCGGGGCTATAGACGAGGCCGCGAGCGGACTCCAAACTTCCGGTGAGTGCAGAGCGCGGAGCTCAGTGGCCCGGGTGGAGGCTGTGGTGGGCTGACTAGCGGCGGGCGCAACCATGGTCAAGATCAGCTTCCAGCCCGCGGTGGCTGGCGTCAAGGGCGACAAGGCCGACAAGGCGGCGGCTGGGGCATCGGCCCCCGGTCCGGCCGCCGAAATCCTGCTGACCCCCGCGCGGGTGAGAGGGCCGGGAACCGGGGCAGGACGGGAGGCTCGGCTGGGGCGGGGGGCTTGGCAGGGTAGTCATCCAGAGTGGGAAGGGGGCTTGGAGGGTGCAGAAAGCCAGTCCAAGGAGTGGGAGGGGGTGCGAGGGGCTGATTCTCTGGGTAAACGCTTGGGGATTCTTCTAAAAGTGAAGGGGGCCTGGGTACCTGGCCCGAAAATAGGGGAGGGGGATGGCTTGAAGAACTTGGGGGAATGTGGGGAGGGGTTGCATCTGGTACCAATCAGAGGGGAGGGACTGAGTCGTGGCCCCTAGTGGGGGATGGGAGGAGAGTTGGATGTCGTTGTCCCAAAATGTGGGGCCTGATTGGTTGAGATTTGGGGGGACTCTTGGTGCCAGCAAACGGGGAGGGACCATTGGTTGCGTACCAAACCAGGGGCTGCGGGAGGCGAGGAGGTGTTGAGGAGCTGCTCGGAATTTGCCCACCAGAAAGTGATGAAATGAAAATAAAACAGCCCCA